ATGTTATTTATATACTTGAGACTTGCTTTGCATGATTTACTGCATCAGTCAGTAAGGTTGAGGTGTTAGAGCAGCTGAGCTGCCTCAGTAGCAGCTTTCAGCACATTAATAAAGTGTTTTTCAACTGAATTCATTTTGCCTTTTTGGCTTTGGTGCACTGCATTCTCAACTCAGTAATACATAGATATTCATATTTAAAAAAAAATAATATTGATTTTAAACCATATTTTGGTACTTTTAGTAATGTGAACAGCTGTAAATGTCTGTTTGAAGATCTAATCAGAATCTTCATAAAGCTTGTCTGCCAAGGAACAACATTCCAACCCCTTTTCTGCTTAGTCCAAATAAGACACTCCTGACATTGTCTGTGGTTCAGGAGTGGCTTTACAAAAGTATTGCAATAGTTGCAGCCAATGTCTGTGTATGCTGTCCTTTTTATGTGGAACAGACTTTTTCCTTCCACACAACCTTCCACACCGTAGATATCCTTGGACACAGCATTTCGTTAACAGCTAATAGGAATGGCTCACTGTCACTGCTGGATAACTGGGATTTGGATGTCACATTTCATTATAACATATTCAGATTATTCAAAGAAACTGAATGTTGGTTATTTTTTTTACCTGTTAGCTCGATCCCTCTGCATGGATTTTGCATGTGTGTGTTTTAGAATAGTTCACCTTTCTACCATAGTTCAAAAATACTAAAGTTAGGAAATTTAACTTTACTAAAATGGCTCATATTTTTGGATGAGTATATAAATATTAGTCCTCTGCATCTGTGTGTCGGCTTGTTATACTTTAGTGATCTGTTCATGGTGTACCTTTTACCAAAAGAATGCATGGATGATTAGCTGAAAGCCATATTCATCCTGGTTAGCAGAAATTAAACACCCTTCTGAGTCCAATTCATATTTATTGCGCACTGTAAAGAAAAAGGCCTTTTTTTATTTAATAAGGTTTTACCTATATAGAAATGATAAAAGACATTCAAAGCAAAAACAATGTTGCTACAGCAGCAATTTATTTTAACAATTTAAAGGTGATAATGAACCACACATAATTTACCAAGCGCATATATTAAGAATAAAGAGTTTATCTGATAAGATAAAATTATTTATAAGGGCTCCCACTTTGTTTCAATTATTTCTGAGACTATCATTACAACATGTATTCAGAAAAAGAAAATAATATGTTCAAACTAATTTTCTCGCAGATACTTTGAATAAAACATCCAAAAACAATAAGCAGAGCCTATTAGGACTCTTGCAGATACCTGTGATGTATATTGCCACAAATCTTAAATATAAGGAGGCCTGTCTTTTTGTTTGGATGCATTTTTCTTGTAATTTGCTCTGAATTTAGCCAACCTGAGGTTCTGCTTGGTAAATGTATTCTTAGGTTTAAAAAAAGGTTGATACATAGTTTATGGCCGCTAGATGGAGACAAAGATCATTTATGTTTTCATTCAGACTCTTACGTCCAAACTGTATTGTCAAATGGTTCTTCCTTAGATAAAGAGAGCGATTATTACATTATACTGTAAGATATTCTTATTAAAATCACAGTTGCTTTACACACGGATCACTTTTAAAACAATAGTTTAAATATATCCTTTAAAATCCTAAATGTATAAATATTCTCAGCTCTCATCTTTTCCCTTTTCATAGTTAAAGTTCTTAGTAAAAACATACCCGCCATCTAGTGGCAGGAGGCTGATACAGCCATTAAGGCGTTTTAGTGGGAATTTATTGTTGATTAAAATATGAATGTACAACTAATTATAATCACATCATTAGCTTAAAAAGGAAAAAAAAAATATACATTTAAAACAAATGTCTTAGCTGTTATATAAGACGTTTACTTTTTACCTAGACACTTGATTGGACTGATTCATGGACAAACATCAACCCCAAGAAAAAGGATTATACTTTTATTCACATTCACATAAAAGCTAGAGAATAGACTATTTGTGGATTTTAAAACATCCTCAAAATACTAGGATGCAATATAAGGAATATAACCCTAAGTGAAAGACCAGACAGATTTTTTAAAATGCACTGTTCTATTTATAGCTACAGTTTGTGCTGTATTTTGTCAGAGAGTGAATTGGAAAAAACTCACTCAGTGATAAACTGGTCAGGATACATTGCTCCTCTTCTCAAACCCAACGCATATTTTGACAACAGTTTGTCCGGCTCTTTTCAATTAATCTTTTATAAATAACAGTCCTTGCTTTTTCTCAGAAACACACCATCATAAAATTACTCTACATGTATATTCACATCCTGAGAAGCTAAGTTTAAGATCTTTTTGAACAGATTAGGCCAAACAGGATTTATTGGATTGCTTGTCTCATTATAAGACTGCAACAAAAAATAAAAAATCTTAGGTCTACTATAGCTCTCAATGAGTAAAATCTGTCATATCTTAAAGGCCCTACGGTCTCATAACCTTCAGTTTGAGCAGCCAGCTCACAGACTCCAGGCTTACCTCTGGATTATAGATTATCTGAAAGTAGAATGAGAGCAGAGGATTTTGTTATCGGGCTCCTCTCGTGTAGAACCGACTGCCAGCAATGAGTTCACAAAGCGGACACACTTTCTACATTTAGGCCTGGGGTTTACTGTGGCGACCTCAAAGCACCCATTTAGTTATAAGCCTTGGCTGCTGAGAAACCTCCCATTATTGCTGTCAGTAGCTGTTTGGCTCTGATATTTTTCTAGCATCCACTGACTAACAAAATTAAACAGTCTGTTTTTAAGCAGATGTTGTCCTGTTAAAAGACAATTCACATTTGCACTGTTAGCCTCCACAACTTGCATACTGAGAAATAAATATTGAATATGAGGGTCAATATTTAAACAATTAAGATCTAAAGGTAACTGGTGATTATCAGCATAAGTTTTATACTTATCTTGGATATTTACACAGAGGATCAAAGCGATAGATATGGACTCAAAATACAATTTGAACTTGAAATAGTTGTTTGTTTTTGTCCAGAGATGCTCTGAATGATGTCTGTACCGTCGTGCTTCACAGCTGGTGCAGAAGCAAAATCTCTTTTGTGTATAGTGAATCTTTTCTCCATCATTTTGGTTTGCCATTAAGGTAACTTTAAAGTTTTAATCAAACTTGAAAGTGTCAGTTGTGGTGCATGGGTTTCTAAACTGGCCGTCTGCATGTTAATTAATGTTAAATTAGAACTAAACTGAATTTATTGTTAACAGTGGGACTGATTTTGCAGGAGAAAAGGGGGAAATGTCCCCAGCACTTTTTTTTAAAAGTCAGTTTTGGTCCCCTGCACTTTTTAGTGTCCAAAGACAATATTACGCTACAGTGCGCAGACATTCGTCGAGCACTAGTACCAAGCTGAAGCCCACTTCCCTTAGTTTAGCCCACCCACAAGCTCCTGATTGGCCCTCCGTCTTTTCTTAGGTTATTGAGATGAGTAGCAGAGATGCAAGAGAAAATAGAGGAAACAAACATGGAAGAACTACTGCAAAAAACATGCTGAACTTCTATACCATAAGTACTGAGTAATAATCATGAATTATTCTCTCTGAACAGCTTTCCCTTCATCTTCATAAAAAAAATTGGTCTGCATCATCATAAGTAGAAGAGTGTTTTAAGGTAGGGTCTAAGTCTTGAAAATTAGCTTCTCAGCTTCAAGGGGTCTTAGAATTTTTTTCAGCCTTCCTAAAGAAGAGTTTAATCACCAGAAATGGGATAAAATCATGCTGCATCTGCTCCAGTGTGACATTATAAAAATATGCACCACCCAAGGGGAGAGCTGGCACTGAGGTGAAGGCAACTGTCTTTCCTCCGGTTAGAAAAATAGCTCAACAATACCCTGTAGTGCAAAAGCCAATACTTTATCACAAGCTTTGTTAGGAGGAAATAAGCATGATATAGGTCCTTCAAAATTAGTTTAATCTTTAAAGCATTTAAGCAATAAACACATTCTCAAGCATTTTATGCATACTAATGGATGTAGCATCAAGTGGTAAAAAACAAAAAAATTCTTCCTCTGTTTTTCTGCTCTATTTACATTGCAGTGTCCATATAAACTGTAAAACTCCCTGCATAATTATAATAAAGCAATTTGTATGCATGAAACAGGTTGAGCTATATGGCAATTGCCATACTGCTACACTTGTGAAAGTAAAATCTGTTGGGCTCTTTTTGGCATCAAGACAATTATTCTTATTGCCACATTGCCAGACAGGACACTGTAAAAAAAAAAAAAAAAAAAAAAATAGGATATCTGTAATTTTAATGATATCTCAGATCTACGTTCTACTAAAATGGTCTTAGATTTATGTTCAAATCAGACACCAGACACTGAGGAGGTTCCCGGAGTGACGGCACTTCTCATGATTCAAACACGACCCTTCTCTTTTTATTACACTCTTTTATTCTACTCTTGAACTGTTTTTATATGAAGCCACATAAATGGTACATTTGATTACAGTCAATTTTTGAAAAAAAAAAAAACAAAATTCAAAACTTTTTAAAAACCGATTGATTAATCAAACATATTTTTTCTTTTCCTGATAAATATACTCAGTTTTTTCTGTGATGTATTGGAGTTTTTGTTGTTGTTTTTTTTTTACATTTTAAAGAAACACCTTTCAGCACCAACACCAAACAGCATTCATGTTTTTTTAATCACACAAACAAAATGTTAATAATTCAGAGCATATCTTTGAGTATACATGTGGGAACAATGTAAGCAATTTATTGCATTGGATTTTCTTATCTTATAGGGTATTCAAAAATATAACAATGTTGTTATTTGAATAGATAAATATAGATACATAGGAATACAGAGCAAATAAGAATACCTGCAAAGCTGTTTCATATTTTCTAAAAACCGTGTAGGGTGTAAGATCCCTGTAAATCAAAGTCCCGATTCCCTGGAAATGAAAACATTTAATTTCTTAGTAATCGTAATTTAGAATATGCTGATGAACATGACAGAAAATAGAATTACAGTTCTTACGTCTGTTGGAGAAATCAAAGAAATCTTCATTAAAAGGTAGTGATATGTCGATTGACTGTCTTTTCCTGGAAAAGAAGACAAAAATGTTGTTTTCTCTTAATAATTAAATATTACAAACAAAGATATTACCAGTTTGTAATATTACGCTAATTAACGATAATAACCCACCAAAATCCTCCATTACGCCACCTCACAATGGTGATAATGGTGATCAAAAGCAGGAGTGCAATAGCCAGAGATCCAAACAGTGCACCATAGAAACCTGGACCTCTGCGGAAGGACTCACATCTTGTACCATAGTATTGTTCGAAACTGTTTTGATAGCACCTGAGGTAAATAGTACATAGAATAACGACTGTGTTATGATAAGGATATCAAGAAGGGGTGTTGCTAGATGGGATGGGCCATACAACCCCTACAATGTGATGGTTGTTGTGGACATAATTCAACACCACTGTAACAAGCAGTTCCCCTCTAAGCTAGAGTATGGCAGCAGTGATACTCTAAAGTGGAATGTCCCAACTAAATAATATCTTAAATGTTAGTGAATCAAAGGTCCCATATTATGCAGAATTCACATTATAAACATTTTGTAACACTCATATATGTGCTGAAGCCTGTGTATGAGATTCACAAATTGAAAAATACTCTTTAACCTCCCTCATTGCCTCTTTCCACCTTTTAGCCAATGTGTGCTCAAATTGATCTGTTTGAAAAACATTCCCTTTATGATTTGCTGTCCAGAACAATCTGTAGCAGCCCATCAGTCCCTACCTGGTCACCCCTAGAAAATTGTCTAGCTACACGACTGGTTTAATCTTAAACAGGTGACAAACATATGTTGTAGTTTACCTGCACACGGGTCCTTTATTGATGTCATTAAAACAATCTCCACGTTGTTGGCAGTAATCATGATTAGTTTTGCAGGGTCCAACGCACTGCCATACACCTCTAATGATCTCAGCAGTGTAATTTTTAAAATGGGAGCAGTCGACAAAAGGCTCCAGGTGTTCAATGTCTGGTTCATAGAAAAATTTACATGAATTTCGTTTTAATATGGGAATGAAAAAATAGAATTGACACCATGTTCAGAGAAAACCTACCTGTGATCATTGGCGGGTGCAAGCTGAGTCCATTAAATGACACATTGGTACTGAAAACCTGAGAAACATTGTCAAGGTTTTTTGTGTCATTGAAGATATCAGTCAGCACATCCTCAAGCCGGGTATTGAGAAACCTTATATGTGTGTCATTGTTTTGATAGCTGTACATCACCACACTCTCTGAGATAACGCTTCCATTTCTGTTATAAAGCAATTATAAAGATGTTATTTGAAAGAGTCACGAACTCTGCATTTAGATTTAATAGCAATATATATATATATTTTAAGCAGGAATCTTTGATGAAACATACGTTAATTTTATAACTTGGACAGCTTCAAAGGATTCGGGGTCCGCTCTTTTGCAAAGTGCTTCCAGCTGAATGACATAAGATACGATTTATCTTTTTAAATAATGATTAACAAACCTAAAATTGCCTGCAGTTATTTTGTCAAACACCAGAAAGTTATTTAACAATGCAATATTTAGCGATAAAAATGGAATGAAATAAAATAAAATCTCTACCTCTGGTTGTAATTTCTTTATAAACTCTAATGCATCATTTGAATTTATATCCTTATACGCATCCTGATAATCAATGTAAATTTCCAACGTAATATTTGCATTTCGAGTTGGCAGAGCTCCTGTAGATTAAAAAGAAAAGAGATTGTTATAAATTTCCTGATACATCACAATAATCAAGGTAGAAAAAAAAAGAAAAGTTTAATAAGTCTTTTTGTTTTTGTGTGTCATCTTTGTAGAAAATTTTGGCCTTCCTGCAAGAAACTTCTTCAACTAAACGTGTTGGCATTGCAGAGTATCCATTCCACGTCCACTCTCCACTGCAGCCACTCTACTGTAGTTAATCAGAGCAGTTCCAGAAGGTACGCCGTGGAGCTTCCCTGAAGCGTCCCAGAAGCTTTGGTCACTAGACACATTTCTAAATTCCACAGCTAGTCTATGTTTCATGCTTGAAACCTCAACTTCATGTCAATCGGGAGTAGAGCGGATCATTCAGACAGAACATCAGTTTGCTAAAAAACTAAGCATATTTTAAAGTTAAACTCTGGATGTGCAGACTGTGGATGGCATTTTACTCTGAAACATCAAAACAACATTACCTGTGACTCCAGAACAGAGCCACGGGATAATCTCACTTCATACGGCACCATAGATAAAATTGTTTATTATGGTGGCAGAAAAGCACTCAATTTTTTATGCACAACTCATGTGTTTTATAAAGATAACCCCAAAAAGGAAGAGGCACAGGCTAAAAGGTAAGTTGGCCAGATAAAGAGCAGGCATGCATTACAGGGATTGTACTGTCCAAATAACCACTTTATTGTTTTATGTAAAGCGTACATGTATACTACTACTGTGTGATAATGAAATCCTTGCTCTTTGCTCTAAAATGCTCCAGGGGTGATTCCGTGATGCATACTGTCTGCAGAGCTTAGGAATCAGTGGAATACCTGGGGTATGACCTTAGATCTCAGTGCTTCACTTGCCTGTATGGAGGTCATACAGGCAAGTTAAAGGCCATACATATTACATCTAAGTTGGATTAGCCGGTAGTGTTCTTTTCCACATTAATTTTGTGTGTGACTCCAAATCTAGACCTCCATTGGTTAATTCCATTGATGATTATTGTGTGATTTTGTTGTCAACACCTTCAACTATACAGACAAAGTATTGTGTGAGGATATTTGCTTCATTCAGATCCAAGATGGTTTATTAGGGGGTTCCCCTTATTTTTTTTCAGCAGTGTAACAACATAATATTGTATATCAACATTACATGTGTGTGAGCATAAATCATCTCACCAATGTGAGGAGTTGTTTCATTGGCTCCATGAGAGCAGACATCTCCAAAGACAAAGTCTTGACATATGCACTGGCAATCCCCGAGAGTCATATTAAAGAAGCACTCCCCCCCATTGCACTGACAGTCTTTACAATGAGGAGTTGTAGCAACTGTTGAGAAGAGTTCAGAAGGAAAAGATGGCTTATCAACAATTGTTGCAGAGTTTAAACTGAGGAAATCTGATGTTACTATATTAATGGAAAATTGTTATGTTGGTGAAGATGTTTCAAGACTCAGACTTGATTGTTCGGCTATTTTTACTTAAACTCTAGAAGAAGGAGCAAATGGGGTCATAGTATATGTTCTGGAATCTGTAAAAGTAGATTTCACTGTGGTGGTAGTTATAGAATCTGTAATAAAAGAGCATTTGTCATTAAAGATATGTTAAGACTATCAAAAATATCAAAATTTAAAGGTGTTGATCTGATAAAATTTGTACCAGCTGCATGATTTAAAAATAAAAAAATATAAATTCTTAGACACTTCTTCAGAAAACAGTAGTTTGTGCTCTTAAACTATTTGTAACTTAATTTGTAGTTGACTCTGTTGATTGTAACGCTTGTGTAGGGGGCAAAGGTGGCTATTGATGTAAAATGCATTTCTGTCAGGGAGGAGTCATTTGGAAATGTTACTGTACCTCCTGATGACACTGTAGATCTTACAGGTGAGTCTGGTGAAGTTGATAAAGCAATCTGAGTTATTGAAGGTTGCATTGTTATGGACTGATCACTGATGCTTGTTGGTGTTGGTTTCTCTTTGGTAGGTGGGGCTGATGTTTCGCTAGAAGTCAACGTCTTGAAAACCCCTGTACTTGAGAATGAAATTGTTCTTGGTGTGCTTAACCCAGTTGTGTCTTTATCTGTGGTTGACTCTGTTGACATTAATGTTCCTGTTTGTGGAAAGGTTGAAATAGATGTCGACAAATCAGTTACAAATGTTGCTTTACTGTCTGATGGGCCTGTACTTGTTACAGTTTTGTCAGCTGTTTCTGCTGCAGTTGGCTCAGTAGAAGACAATGTTCCAACAGTTTTTTCTGTTATAACAGAGGTAGAGTCTGTAATATAATCTGTGTTTGTCACCGATGGATCAGGACTGCTCCACATGTCTAAATTTGTTGTACTTGTGGTTTTAGTTGTATCTGAGATGTGACTTGAGGTTGATTGAGAATCTTGGGTATTGGCAGGAGAGACAGTTGGATTTGAGGTTTGGAAATCCACTGTATTTGAAGAGGAAACTGTTGTTGGTGTGCTTAACCCATTTGTGATATTGTTTGTTGTTGACTCTGTTGACAATATTGTTTCTGTGTGTGGTAAGGTTGAAGTAGATGTAGACGCTTTCTCTGTTAGGGATGAATCAGTTGCAAATGTTGCTTTACTTTCTGATGGGCCTGTACTTGCTACAGTTGCGTCAGCTGTTTTTGCTGCAGTCGGCTCAGTAGAAGAGAATGTTGCAGCAGTTTTCTCTGTCGTAACCGAAGAAGAGTTTGTGATATAGGGTGTGTTTGTCACAGATGGGTTAGGGCTACTCAACGTGTCTAAGTTTGTTGTACTTATGGCCTCAGTTGTATTTGAGATGTGACTTGAGGTTGATTGAGAATCTTGGGTAGTGGCAGGAGAGACAGTTGGATTTGAAGTCTGGAACTCCATTGTATTTGAAGAGGAATCTGTTATTGGTGTACTTAACCCATTTGTGACATTGTTTGTTGTTGACTCTGTTGACAATATTGTTTCTGTGTGTGGAAAGGTTGAAGAAGGTGTAGATTGCATCTCTGTTAGGGATGAATCAGTTGCAAATGTTGCTTTACTTTCTGATGGGCCTGTACTTGTTACAGTTGCGTCAGCTGTTTTTGCTGCAGTTGGCTC